GACCTATGAAAGAAAACTAGCTAGAGGTACCTAAAAATCTTATTATTATTATAGACGACGCAACGCGCGATACAAACGATGATTTGGTCTGACCGTCCGAGATATTCGTGTTAGGCGCATTATATCGTACTTAACCGTTGTCGTCAGACGCATTACAAAACAAACTTAATCGTCGCCGAAGGTGCACGCATGTGGTGTCCGCGTGGGTGTTTTAAAATAATAATTCAAAATAATATTGTGATATTATTATAATATACATTTTTAAACGTGGAGATAAAAATAATAAAAATAATCTCATGGTATCGATAGTAATAATAATAATTCAACGTTGCGTTTTTATCACATCGCAGGTAAAATATTACATACGTTTTCCGCATAAAAGACCGCTTTTGCGTTGGAAGATTTCGTTACACGCGATTTGCTTGTTGCCACGTGTGCTTATGGGCACGCACTGAGATACAATCGTTTCGACAATAATAGCAATGACGTTTTATGCAAATTGAACTGTAATATAACGTCGCGACGCGGCTGACGCACAATATTACGATTTGTGATAATTCATAATGTAAGCGTAACAAAAAAACTCGACCCGAATAATATTATTTTAACCTCGTACTGACCCCCAGTCTTACACCCTGACATAAATGAATAACACAATCAAATGATCAGACACGATAAATTATATACATTTTTATACAATTTATTATTATGATTATTATATAATACGATACTACAATTTTTTATATTTAAACATTAGTCAATCAACGAATTATTTTACAATGACATTTGTCATTTGTGAACAACATTTTATTATCAATTTATTTAAATTGAAATTGATTTTCGATAGTTTAATAACAAAAAGTATTAAAAACGTATAATTCTATCACCTGTACATCAGCGGATATTCATATAAATGTAAAAATAAAATAAATACAATGTCACAATTTAGTAATGGTCAAAATTGCTTTTCTGGATATGCATACGACCCAATACTTTTACAAAGAGATATTAATTCCATCAGATTGTACTAAAATGCTGTCGAAAATGTTTAAATATTAAATTATTATAAACGTATTATCCGGGTTTGAAAGATTTATTTTTTTTATAAACTAGTTTAAGAACCGGATTGTGATGAATCAGCATTTAGGACTTCAGAAACATATTAAAAGAAATATTATAGGTATTATAATATATACCTATTATACCTATATAGAACATATTTTATTTTGCCATCACAGATTTTGTACGAATAAAGCAACAAAAGGAACAACGACAGGTAATCGTTAATGAAAATATATGGTATGTTAGAGAGCATCTGAACATTGTAACAACATCTACAGTTACTAAAACTCCATGATTTATAAATTTTTTTTTATTGGCACTATACATATACCTAGGTAGGCACGTCATAATATTATTTCAAATATATTTGATTTCAAATTTTTATACTAAGAACAAATATATTCATAACATGAAAACATCAATTACATTAAAATCTTTAATGAATAAAATATATTATATGAAATATATAAGTGACCTAAATTACCAAGAAATTATTCTAGAATAAAATTGTTGTTATTGGTATTCGATAGTCCGGACGACTGGCAAAATAAATGGTATGGGTCAGCATCTAAATGCAATCATCAATAACCCCAATAAAATCATAGTTGCGTCGAGTAATACATCAGACGTGTGCTTCAAACTTGTGTACATTGTGACAACCAGACACACAAATCATTGTATACATGTAATTGATATATTTATCACCGTAATATATATTTTTCACATTTCACATTCGATTCGTCCCTGGGTTCTTTTATTTTCCTAAAAACATAGCTCACGTTCGTTGTTAAATCGATTCAAAAGGTTCCAAAGAATTATTATTATTATTATTGGCGGCTGGCCACCTAGTTTGGGTATCAGCTGCTCGATGTTTACAATGAAACTGTTTTATTAGATTAAATGCGGGTTGACCACCGGTCCTACGGTCGGAATATTGGCCGAAACGTAAGGGTCACTAGCAAGCCCACMGAGGGTCATGGTGCGTTTACATCGTTCAACATGATAGCATTCTGGGGACATCATACAAGTCAAAGGGATTCAATATGTCCAGGACCACCTCCCATGCTGGATAATCCTTTCCTACGACATTGATAAATTGATTTTTCCCCATTGTGTCGGATAGTAATAATCACGAACAATGCAATAATATATGGTATAAATGTTCAATATTAATATAACATTAAATAACTAAGATGCCTGTAAGGTCCCGTTAACCAATACCTTCTTATTTATTATTTTTTTTTTTTCAAGAAAAACAGTCGGCGGCAACTGTAACCACTGGTGTACTGGACACATTAACTAACGTCGTTTTGAAGAGTATGGGTATTTTTTGTAGAGTTTAAATTTACACTTTTACAATCGAAAAAATAGTCACTAGTACCTTATATAATACAACGAACCATGTACTGTTTCGATGAAACTGTTAAACCTAACTCTGATTTTATTTAAATAAATATTTATATTCTCCGCAGTTTGAAAGTCGATCTAATAATATTAAATATTATATTATAATATTTTGTCGTAAATTAAATGCAATATGTTTTACTTTATACGCTATAATATTTCAATACTAATCCACTAAAGTTCATCATAAGCGTCAATGATAATCGGACAGCGTAGTAATTTTTAATTTCCCCGAATACTAAACTGAACGAATTCGCTAGTGGTTTTAATTTACCGTGATGTGTTCGTTTTTGCGATTCCATTGGATTATGTCTAATTTATTATGCCATAGTGATGTTGCCGTTTTTTCCCCATACGATATCAACACCTTTCGGTACATCGGGCTTAGTGACGCCCCAGGGTAACGTTTGAACCGCCAAAACACGGGCTAAATGCCGTAAATTTCCACCATAACGCTTACACGTACAAGCAGACATAAATTATTACTGCACACACCCCAACAATGGGATGGATTTGACTATGCATGTTCTGGTTCGAGTTCTACATTTATTGTGTTGGACCCTCCTGGCACAATGTTTTCGCATACTTACTATTATTATACATTTTATTCATTACTTTGAAAAAGTAGAAAAATAACAACCCTATACAACAGTATACGATAATATGACTGTGTGTATAATAGAATAGAATATGATGGCATTGGAAAATTAGCTGAAAATACCTTAGACACTGCCACGAAAGAAAATACACTAATGTTTTATTTAACTGAGTCGGAAAATGTACATAGCTGGAAATAAGTAATTTATGCATTTTTTTTACACGAAAGCTTTCCATAATTAATTTTAATCAACTGTTATGAATAATGTTACCACTGTCGAAAAACGAATGAGGTTTCACAAAATATAATATATTATTATCTCTCACCGATTATAATTTGGCAAATAAAAAAATAGTTAAGTATTATTTATCATTAAAAAGATGTATGCCATAACATTATTCAGACAATTATCTTAACAAATCAAACTAATATTTTGACTTTTACATTTATCAAATTAGTTATATAAATTATAGTATAATATATAATGATGTAGAAGTATAAAATCTCTGGTAAAATTACAACTTAAAAAATAAAGTACCTACAATCAACAACCACATTAAATATATTAAGTATTTCTAGGAGTTTAAATAATATGTAATGTATGCTATAATTTTGTAACAATTATTTTAGTATGGTCAACACAAAGTAAATAAAAATAAATAACTTATTTTTTTACATGTAATAACAAGCAAATGGATAGAGCAAATCTTAAATTGTCTAGTACCTACAAGTAAAACAATAGATGAGACGATTTAGTAAGCCACAGTAATTAATCGATGAAATGTTCTTATAGTGAAACTAAATACGCATTATTCATATAAAAAAAATTATATAATATATAATTTTTTTTATATGAATATAT